TTGAAACTCCCAAAAAACAGAAGTCCAGGGACAGATGGCTTCAGAGATGAATTCTACCAAACATTTAAAGAAGAGTTAGTACCCATCCTTCTCAAATTATTCTAAAAAACTGAAAAGGACAGAATATTTCCAAAATCATTTTACAAAGCCAGCATCACCCTGATACCAAAACCAGATAGATACCACCAAAAAAGAAAATTACAGGCCAACATCCCTGATGAATACACATGCAAAAATCCCAAACAAAATATTAACATATCCAATTCAACAATACATTAAAAGACCATACACCACAATCAAGTGGGATTTATTCCAGGCATGCAAGTATAGTTTAACATCCACAAATCAATAGATGTGATACACCAAATTAACAAATTGAAGGATAAAATCATGGTCATCTTGATGGATGTAGAAAAAGCATTTAACAAAATTCAACATCTGTTTATAGCAAAAACTCTCAATGAAGAGGGTAGACAATAATAAAGACCATATATAACAAACCACAGCTAACATCAGACTCAATAATGAAAAGCTTTTCCCCAATTTATCACAACACTACATTTACTGTAATCAAAGTGATGCTGTTTATAGACATTACCACATAAATATTTGTAATGAGAACTGCTATAAAAACAAGCATTTACTTTTTTTCCAATTGCTTGCACATTATAATGGCCAAATTTATGTAACCAGCAATAAAGTTGCAAAAGCTCTAACTTTTTAAATCACACAGATTTCCTTATCATAGGATAACACAAGGGCTCCTTGATAATGGAAATGTTCTATATCTTAGATATTTCAATGTTAATGTACTGATTATGGTATGTATTATAGTTTTGCAAGATGTTACCACTGGGAGAAATGTGTAAAGGGTGTAAGGGATCTGCGTGTTACTTAACAACTCCATGTGAACCTACAACTGCCTCAAAATAAAAATTAGGGTTTTTTGTTTTAGTGCATCATCTCAAAAATAAAGTTTTTTAAAATGGCATTGTCTCCAAAGGAATTATCAGCCAAGACACCTATCATCAGATTTTAATATTTCTAATTTTCTTGACAGGCAATAAAAAAGCTCACTAGAAAATTCACCTAACAACCTAGTTCTAAAGCATTTACCAAGGGTCTGTCATGTGCAACTAGGAGCTAGGGAAACAGGCAAAATGAAAGCAGATTTAGAAGAGTTTATACTTCTAATGAGGTTGAATAAGAACTACGGTACTGAACTCAAGCTATCTTCCTAAGGTGCTTCATTACTCCTGTCCATAATCGTTAAGTATTTCCAAACAGGATACAGGAGTAGTCTCAGCAGTGTTTATCTTTACTTATGTTTAAGTAAGTCTTCAGAAAGTCTCTCGGGGCGCCTGGGTGGCCCAGTCGGGTAAACGTCTATCTTCGGCTCAGGTCATGATCTCAGGATCCTGGGATGGAGCCCAGCATTGGGCTCCTTGCTCAGCAGGGAGCCTGCTTCTCCCTGTCCCTCTGCCTGCCACTCCTCCTGCTTGTGCTGTCAAATACATAATATCTTTAAAAAAAAAATTTTTTTTTAAAAAGTCTCTCCTTCCTTACTCCCAGCCAGTGTAGGACACTTCCCCCACAAACCCCTGCTCCCAAGCCCTGGTATCCAAGTCTCACCTCAGCCCAAACCACCACCCCGCCATGTTAGCTGGAAACAGGACTCAGGAAAGGAGCAAATCATACACCTACAGGTCACACACACACTTCTCTCACATCCAGCTTGCTGCAATTCCTCTGAATATAAACATCCAAAGGAACAAGAGAATGGCAGGCGGGAGGGGTTGGTTAAGACTTGCAGCTGCCCAGCCTCTAGAAGAGGAGTTATGCCATCAGAAAAGTTAAAGAGACAGGGCGCCTGGGTGGCTCAGTTGGTTAAGCGACTGCCTTAGGCTCAGGTCATGATCCTGGAGTCCCGCGATCGAGTCCCGCATCAGGCTCCCTGCTCAGCAGGGAGTCTGCTTCTCCCTCTGACCCTCTTTCCTCTCGTGCTCTCTATCTCTCATTCTCTCTCTCTCAAAATAAAAAAAAAAGAAAGAAAGAAAAGTTAAAGAGACAGAGGAATCGATCTCACTGATATGAGGAATTCTTAATCTCAGGAAACAAACTGAGGATTGCTTAAGTGGTGGGGGGGTGGGAGGGATGGGGTAGTTGGGTGACAGACATTGGGGCGGGTATGTGCTATGGTGTGTCCGTGAATTGTGTAAGACTGTTGAATCACAGACCTGTACCTCTGAAACAAATAATACATTATATGTTAAAAAAAAAAAAAAAGATCGTAGGAAAGGAAAAATGAAGGGGGCGGAAATCGGAGGGGGAGACGAACCATGAGAGACTATGGACTCTGAGAAACAAACTGAGGGTTCTGGGGGGACGTGGGGGGGTGGGTTAGCCTGGTGATGGGTATTAAAGAGGGCACGTATTGAATGGAGCACTGGGTGTTATATGCAAATAATGAACCATGGAACACTACATCAAAATATAAATAAATAAACGGGAAAAAAGAAAACTACTCTTCACACCCACTGAGCAAGAACTGCTTTCACCTGTTAATGTATCTTGCCCGTCTGGCTTTACACTGAGACCCAGCAAGTGTAGCCTGTGAATAGTCAAAATTGGCATCCCAAGGATGTGAGGGCACGTTGCAGCAATGTCAAGAGCCTCTCTACTAAATGGGGAGGGTCAATTAGACTGACTGGGTGGCTCATCAGGTTCCCCATCTTCCCTTAATATTTGTTGTGTGTTCTGCTTCCAGCTAGGAGTGATACAAAGAGATTACATGGTCCTTGCACCAGAATTCATCTACTTTACCATTGCCTTTAGTTGCACATTCAGTTCCATAAACTTAGTTTCCAAGTTCATGGCTAATCAAAATGAATACATTTCATAGAGAGCAAAGGACTCTGTTCATCACCTGCCATTTGCTCAGTGCCTATGAAGTTCCTGGCACTTGGAGATAGAGCACTGACCAATACAAGGTGATCCCTCCCTATTTTCCCAGGCTTATGTAGGGGAGAGAAATCAGAAGAATAAGTAAAAGTGATTGTAAATAAAATTATTACCAAGTGTGCTAGTTGTTAGCAAGGATATAAACACAGCTGAGGAACCTGCATTTTCTGGGGATATAAAGAACTATTTCCTTTTAAATGCTATAGAAATATAGAATTAAAATTCATACAATTTATTGATCCCCAAATTTACTCTAAAATTTACTTCAAAAAATTAAATCTCAGATGCTGGCTTGTTAGCTCTTTATTTTAAAAGCCAAATGCCATTCCAATTGCCTAGAATAGAAACAGTAAATGGAGACCTTAAGGCAACATTTCCATAGGTGGAAATCACACAAAATGGGTCCCTGAGGAATGGGGGAAGGAAGCAGGACGCAGGCCAAAGAGCATGCCTTCAGCTATTTCAAAACTTGGCCTAGGGTGGACCCTGTAGCAAGGAAAACCCTTTAGCACCCTGCTCCCTGAGTCCCACAATCCTTACTAGTTATATACTTCACTTGCATTAGGCAACTTTTGTGGACTCACTTGGGCACAGAACTACCATGTGGAAAGTTGAGGTTTTTTGTTTTTTAGGAAAGTGGAGTATATTCCAAATAAGAAAGCAACAAATCAACCTCACTTAAACTGGTGACTGCCAAGTTAAAACACTAGCCTTGCTTTCCACAGTGTCCAGACAAAACTCAATCACATCAACCAATCTTTGAGGAATATAAAGTTACATTGTCAGAGTTAACTAATTGTGCTATTGTGCTAAACACAATAACCTAATGTTAAAACCTAATGACTAAGATACATTTGACTATAAATCTGACCCACATAGACAATAATCTGAATTTCCATCAAGGAATCTGTAAGCACTAAATGATGGAACAAAAATGAATCCAGGCTTCATGTGTGCCGGGGGGGGGGGGAACAGCTCTGAACTGTCGCTTTGGTGGGGGGGGAAACCTCTATTTCCCAAGATTCAAATGTAATCTCCCCAAATTTAACTACAATCTTTTTTTAATTTGTTCGGCTTTCCTTCTCTACCAAAATTATTCACACTTAAGCCTCTAGATTTGTTCCCTGCTACTGCATCTCCACTTCTTCCCAAACATTATTTTATAAAGGCTGGCCTACCACTAGTTAGAAGTTACATCTGAAAGCTTTCACCTGGCCTTTCTTTCTAAATACCTGTGGCTGTAAATGGGTTGGGGGGTGCTGGGGTGTGTGTGTGAGGATTTCTAGTCTAGTTCTCTTGACACAAATTAGGAATTGGAGAGGAAGGATCTTTGTAAATGATCTCCAGGGAATTTTCCATCAATTCCCTCCCTTCACCCAGCTTTGTAAACACCAGAAAATTCTCATCATCTTCAAATTCTGACAGCCACCTGTGCTGCTCCTTTCTGTTCCCATGGAGAGGATCAGCCTCTACAACAACTTCGCAAAGATGTGCCTCCCCTCAGTCTCATCATCCTCTGCTTAAAAGCCTCTGGCTTCCCATCTCAAAATAAAAGTCCAAATTCCTATAGTTCTTATAAAGGCCAAGGTCTGCATCATCTAGCCAGTCTGACACCTCTTTAACTCCCCAGTCTCATCTCTTTCTACTCTTTCCCTCCACTCTTTGCTCACACCTTTACACTCATTTTCTGCCTGGAATGCTCCTTAAAAGGCTTTCTTGAAATGTTACCTTCCCCTACCCTACCTTCCATGTAAAACTGTAAACTTCCAACTCCCTAACCCCCTAACAAACTGCTCTAGACCCCCGTGAGGGGCAGAGCCCACTCGTCCTCCCCAGGCCTGAGAGGTTACTTGTACGGAGGCGCATCTTCGGGGCTCTTCACTGCAGACACAAGACTGAATGAAGAAGTCCCTGGTCTTTGGTCACCGCCCCCTCTCCTCTGCCCCCGCGGTCCACCCCCCACAGCCGCCGAGCCCAAACCCTGACTCGGACCTGCGGGCCCTCTCCAGCAAGCACGCCCCTACCTCCGCGGGCCCCACCTGTTCCCGGCGTCCCCTTCGGCTCCCCACTGCGCGTGTGCGAGCAGACCCACGTGGTTTCGGGCGGGGTGTGGCGGCGCTGCGGAGGCTGGACACGCCCCCAGCGTAGAGCTGGCTTCTGATTGGCTGCCCGGCCTGCCTGGCGGGGTTGGAGTCTTCTGCGGCTGCGCCTCTAAAGGCGCTGCCAGTCGAGTCGTGTGTTATCTGCTCTTCGTCGCGTCCGCGGGTTTTCCGGATCTTCGCAACCCCGCCAGCATGTCTCAGGTATAAAGCGTGCCTAGCCTGGCTGCGAAGGTGCGGCGAGGCTGCAGGCTGGGGGGAGAGGGGGTATCTCCCAGGAAGAACTCCACAGGGTCTTTCCCTTCCCCGCTCCGCTGTGCCTCCTGGACCCGTGCCCAGCCCTGACTCTGTAGGGAGTTTCGTGAGCGGAACTTGCAGGGTTTGGACACTGCTACCCATCCGCAACTGTTAGAAAGTTGCCCATGGGGTGGACTTCGCGATGAAGCAGGAGCAGGGGTCGGAGGCGAGGGTCCTAGGTAGAAAGATGGCAGGTAGAGGGTTCCGTGGATTGAAGGAGCAAAGAGACCGAGTTCCCCATCCGGAAGGTCAGGGCAGGAGTAGGGACGCCATCCATGCAGAATGGGGAAGCGAGAAAGCCGTGGCTGACAACTTAGAGGTCAGGGGACATAGGGGCTGAGTGTTCAACGTGTGGGAAGGGGAGGGCTTGAGGAGAGTTGGCCCAAAAGTCTTTTTCCTCCTTCGAATGTAGTCGCCTTTCGGAGACTGAGCTGTGTGGGATGACCTCTGACTCATCTCACCTCTCTCCAATCAGAACACTGAAATAGAGGTCAGCGCTGGACGCCCAGTCCCAGGGGGCGGGGGTCCAACGGGCTCCAGTCGCTGACACCTTCGTACTCAAACCCCGCCCCCTAACCCCGTCCCCTTCTCAACTGTTTGAAACACGCTGTGCTAGCCCTATCGGCAAGTCAAGGGCTTTACTGAGACCCCGGCCTGACCCAGGGGTGGTCAGGCAGTTGACCACGCTTTTTCACTGAAGTATATGCCTACTGCAGGCACTTCTAGCCTGCTTCCTTCACCACTGTGTTTCCAGCACCTGGTACCTGGTATGGTAAGAGCATCCAGTACATAGTTATCCATTGAACGAGTGAACCCCTGTGCTTCCCCTCCTTGTTTTGCTGAATCTTTCTGGCTGCCCTGTTGGGGAGCTGAGAACACACACTGCTTTTCCTCACAGGCATCCCAGGAGTGCTGCCTTTCCACCCTGTCTTTCCCCATTACTGAGCTCTATTTAGACCTTTTCTCTCCTCATGTTTAGGCTGAGTTTGACAAAGCTGTTGAGGATGTTAAGCACCTCAAGACCAAGCCAACAGATGATGAGTTGTTTTTCATCTACAGCCACTACAAACAAGCAACTGTGGGTGACATAAACACAGGTATGGGGTGCCTGGGTGGCTCAGTTGGTTAAGCATCTGCCTTGAGCTCAAGTCATGATCCCAGGGTCCTGGGATCGAGTCCCGTGTCAGGCTCCCTGCTCATCGGTGAGCCTGCTTCTCCCTCTCCCTCTGACATTACCCTTGCTTGTGTTCTCTGGCTCTCTCTAGCTGTCAAATAAATAAATAAAATCTTTAATTAAAAAAAAAAAAAAAAACACAGGTTGCTGAGCTTGGGAAGGCCCCCTACTCATCAAGGCAGACTCAGCAGGCTTGATGGGTGCTGGAACTCTTAATCTATGGGAACTGCACACTCAAAACCACCAAAAGTCCTACTCTTCAGGTGGAACATGGTAATGGCTCATGGCGTGCCCCCCCCCATGCCAAGATCATGCTCCTGAATGGGGCTCATGGACCCTGTACTGTTCTTGGTGGCTCGGGTAGCAGAATTCAAATCCTAGTTTTTGGAAGGACTTTACTGGTTAATCACCAGCATTTTCCATCTGCTTGGGAGGAAGCAGAGACCCCAGCCTGGAAGAGACTTAGTCCAAGCTCTCAGCTCAGTAGTAGCTTTGTTGAATCCTACTACTTCCACCGTAGACAGGCAGAATCAAAGTCAGAGCACTTGGCAGCCGGGCCAAGCCTGATAGCAGGAGCAGAGAAGCTGGCTTCCTAAGGCCGGTCAGAAGCATTTTTGCTGACAGTGGTTCCTGCTGACCGTTTCTTCCTCATTGAAAAAAAAATCTTAGTACAGATTTTGAGGTGGTAGTTTAGACTACCATATTCTGAACACAGTCTTTCCTGCTTTGGACAGTTTTTATTCTGCCCCTAAGTCCCTGCAACTCAGGTGTGTACTGAGGCAACAGCACAATGCAGTCTCTGCAGGGACTCAGAGGCAGTGACCACAGCAGCATAGAAGGAGGTCACCCCCTCCTCTGTTCAGGAGGGAAAGCATGGCCAATTCCACTGTGCTTGGGGTGGGCAGTGGAGCAAGTGGTGGCTGCCAGCCATATGGAAGCAGGAAATGGTGCCCAGAGCAGTGCCAAATCGAAGTTCCCAGGAAGGGCTTAGCTGAGAGAGGTCTTGGGGCAAAGGTGAGTTCTGCGCTGGGTTTATAAACTTTATATCCTCCCAGGAAGGGAAAGGAGAGATGAAGTGGGGGTGGCCAGAGGGGCTGAGATGCTTTTCTGCCAAACAGGATTTTCCTAGACCCTGGCCTTTGCCCTGCTTTTACATGAGTATGTAGACTGGCTTGGGAATCTGTCGCTTCCTCATTGGGGAGGCGTCAGCTCATTCTAGGGCTGCATTGTCCAAAGATTGTCACTACTAGCCCCATTCAATTTTAAATTGAAAATAGTTAAAATAAAATCCAGAGCTCAGTCCTCAGTGGCACAAGCCACATATCAAGTGCCACAAGTGGCCAGTGGCCCTTAGTTAGTGCAAATGTACATGTCCATCATCACAAAAACAGCTTTTGGAGTGTGCTCACTCTTCCTGGATGACGACTCTGCAGGCACCCTCTCCGGCATCCCTGGAAATGCTTCTCTGAAAGCATCTGAGGAGACTTGCTGTTTCTCAGGCACAGTGGTCTGGGCCATGGGCCCTGGGATTGCTCCTCTTGCCTTTGTTCTCAGCGTGGCAGTAAAATAGGTCAGCAGGGAAGTAGCCAGTGTGTTTCCCAAGTGCAACTGATGACAGGTCTGGAAGCACAAAATCATGGTGTAACTTTAAGAATGCTTTAACTTTGGAGACAAAACGCCCACAGATTAACAAGAATTAGACTAACAACTTGGTAGAAAAGTGGGGCAAGGATATGAACAGACTATTCACAGAAAGAGGAGCCCAGAAAACTGATAGCAATAACGTGAAAGAGAGAAGTTGGGTGACTGAGAGCAGGGGTGGGAGGGAAACTTTGTAGTATTCTCCGTGACAGCATTTCAGTTTTAAGCCATACGAATGGATGTGTAGTACTTGTTTAAAAAAATTTTTTTAAGTATGGTTTTTAAAAGGAGAAATTTTGGAGTTAAAATTTAACTTCTAAGACAAAGTCTGCCTAGTAATGAGAACAGTTTTCTTCCTATTTTCTCTAAATCTTAAGTTTGGATTTCTGTACATCTGGGTTTCTGAAGGCAGAACCCACTGTGCTGGACCCATTTAACTCCCTAACAGAGCTTGGAAGGAACCAATGAAATGAGAGATGGGTTTCAGGACAAGAGAGTCAGTGACGTTCTCCATTAGAACTTGAAGCAGGTCTAATGTCTTTTTCTTTCCTTGTTTCAGAACGGCCTGGGCTGTTGGATCTCAAAGGCAAGGCCAAGTGGGATGCCTGGAATCATCTGAAAGGTAATTGTTCGTAATCAGTTTCCCTAGTCTGTGAAGCCCAGTAATGAAATACTCTTCATTATGGAGTGTGTAAGGGGTGAGGAGAGTAAACAGAGTGGATAGGGCACATGCCGGAAACCAGCCTGGCCTGGCCAAAATGGAAAGAAACTGGGCCACCTACTTTTTCTCCTAATACCATGTATGCCTTCTCCAAGAGCTCCGTCTCTGAGCAGTGGTATTGTTGGGAGAGGGGCTGGGGACCAGGTTACTGAAAAACAGACTGTGTGTGGGAGTGTGTGTGAAATAGTTGGCCTGGGTTTTATGTGTATTCACAAGAGGGAGTGGTTTCAGGGCACCTGGGTGACTCAGCCGGTTGAGCGTCTGCCTTCGGCTCAGGTCATGATCCCAGGGTCCTGGGATGGAGTCCTGCATTGGGCTCCCTGCTCCGCTTCTCCTTCTCCCTCTGCCGCTCCCCCTGCTTGTGTTCCCTGTCTCACTGTGTCTCTCTCTGTCAAATAAAGAAGTAAAATCTTTAAAAAAAGGAGGGGTGGTTTCCTGCCTGCACCTTCCTCTTCCTCGCAAGGCCAGGCAGTGATCCCCTAGCCCAAGCAGCCCTCCCCAGCTCCCTTCCAGCCAGAAAGGCACATAAAGGAAAGGAGTGAGTACTGCATGGCACACCGTAGGCCCCATGAACAGAGCTACTACACGCTAAGCAGCAGTAGCCAAGAAGTACCCCAGCTCTGAGTTCATCATGTGCCGCCTGCGGCAGCAAGACCCACCAGTTGGCACTGAAGCTGCCTACCAGCTTTTGTGTTCTCGCTCGCTAGCTTCTGAATAAGCCCTCTGTCTTTCTGCGAATGAAAAGCCCTCAGATTCAAAAAGGGCCAGGATACAATCAATACACTCCTAGGATTTGCAAGTAACTGGAACAGGAATGCGCGTCTGACTGCCCATCGTCACTGGCCGTTCGCATACCGGTGTCCAGGCGCTCTGCAGTGTTTCAGAAAGCGCTCCGATTCCCAGCATCTCTCCCTCACCGCAGAGTCCAGGAAACCGGGGCTCACTGTCTCTGAGGGATATGGTCTGTGCCCTTTGGATTGTGGCAGGAGGGCAGAGATGTGCCTCATTCACCTCCACGAGCTAGCTGCCTTTGCTCACAGTTCTCGAAACTTTTCCCACAGCTCCTCTCTGGGGAGAAGAGGGTGCCTGGCTTTGCTTTCTCACTGCCAGCTTAGCAGCTCCAGCAGAGAAGAGCCCAACAGACAGGTCAGAGCCAACCATGAAAGTCAGAGTCAACAGGGCCAGGAAA